GTTCCAAAAGTCAAGTCTTAACCACTGGACCACCAGGGAAGTCCCGACTGCATTACATATTAATATTACTATATAATTAGTATATAAAAGTGGGAGAGTACACAGCCAACAATTCCCAAAGTTACATTTTGAAAAACACTAGAGCATTAGACGATGTGAAAGCTCATTTTGTTCAACTCTGAACGGTAGGAAGGTGTACCTGTGACGCCTGAATATATGTGGCACATTGAAAAATATTCTTAGCTGATCCTGTGATTGCTTACTCTTTCCTCTTATTGCTTTTTTCCTTTGCGTTGACCAATTCTGTTTTCTTCACTGTTGGCTACCAGACCCTGACCACGCCCTTCTTAACAGAGGCAGGAGGCTGCATTTATAAGCAGGAATCTGCACTAGAGGTAAAATACAGCCTCTTAGGGATTAGTCTTTGATTCAGTAAGTAATATCCTATCTACCTTGACAAATAAAAATAGACAAACATTTAAAAAATTTTATTTATTTATTTATTTTGGCTGCACTGGGTCTTAGTTGCAACACGTGGGATCTTCTTGTGGCGTGAGGGCTTCTTAGTTGTGGCATGCAGACTTCTTAGTTGCAGCATGTGAACTCTTAGTTGCACCATATGTGCGGGATCTAGTTCCCCGACCAGGGATCGAACCCAGGCCCCCTGTATTGGGAGCACAGAGTCCTACCCACTGGACCACCAGGGAAGTCCCTAGACAAACTTATTTAGGAAATAAACTTGTAAAGGAACCAAGATGATTTCATAAAAATTTTGGGGAAAAATGGGTCCAATGTACTTTGTTGAGTGTTGCCAAACTAGCTATTTTAGACTTTTACTCTCAGTTTTACTTGATATCATAAATAATAGAAACTTGGTTTACTCTGATGTTAATCTCATTGAAGTTCCCTGAAAGATAGAAAGCAGTGGCTAAGAGTCTAACAGTATCTCTGATGTGAGGGGTCTAGATTCAGAATCTGGCTTTATCTCTTTTTAGCTATGTTATTTAACCTCTCTGTACTTCAGTGTAGTTGTCTAGACTTAATAATATTATTGTCTTGTAAAGTGTTTGTGAAGATTAAATAGAATAAGTAGAGCACTTAGAATAGTGCCTAGCACACAGAAAGCAAGCAACAAGTACTAGCTGTTATTAGATCATGGCTTAAAAGTTGTTGCCAATTTTAAAAAAATTAATTAATTAATCTCTTATTTATTTTTGGCCATGTTGGGTCTTCCTTGTTGCACTTGGGTTTTCTCTAGTTGCGGTGAGCGGGGGCTGCTCTTCGTTGCAGTGCATGGGCTTCTCATTGCGGTGGCTTCTCTTGTTGCAGAGCATGGGCTCTAGGCATGTGGGCTCAGTAGTTGTGGCCCGCGGGCTCTAGAGCACAGGCTCAGTAGTTGTGGCGTACGGGCTTAGTTGCTCCACGGCATGTGGGATCTTCCCAGACCAGGACTTGAACCTGTGTCCCCTGCATTGGCAAGCGGATTCCCAACTACTGCGCCACCAGGGAAGCCCAAGTTGTTGCCAATTTAAGGCATCCAGTTTAATCATTTTCTTTTCTAGGAGGACACAGCTGATTAACACACTTATCATCTTTTCCCCTAATCCAGTTAAAAGGTCTCATTTTTTTTCCTTTTTTTTAAAAAAAAATTTAATATCATATTATTGAGGTATAATTTACATATAATAAAATGTACCATTGTAAGTATATGGTTTAATGAGTTTTGACAAACCATCATTCCAGTCAACATACAAGACTTTTTTATCACCCCAGAAAAGTTCCGTCATGCCCTTTGAAGCCAACCTTCCCACCCCAGGTAACAATTGATCTGTTGTTTTGCCTGGATTTCATACAATACATGGTTCTTCTGTTAGCATAATGTAAGATTCATCCACATTATTGCATATATCAGAAATTTATTATTTATTACTGAATATATTCTGTGTGTGGACTACCACAATTTGTCCATTTTCTTGTTGATGGACATTTGGGTTGTTTTCATTTTTTTGGCCAATTTGAATAATACTCTGAACATTCATGCACACATCTTTGTATGAACACATGTTTTCATTTCTCATGGGTAAAGCTTAAGAATGCAGTTGTTGGGTCACTTGTTCGAAAGAAACTGTCAAACTTTTTCACAGTGGTTGTACCATCTTATACTCCTGCCATCAGTGTATTTGGGTGTCCACATCCTTGGCAACACCTGGAATTGACAGTGGTACGTGGTGGAATCTCATTGTAGTTTTTTGTGATTGTAATCTATAATTCCTTGATGAATGATATTGAACCTCTTTCCATCTATGTATCTTCTTCTTCCCTTTTTTTTTTTGGCTGCACCTTATGGCTGGATCTCAGTTCCCCGACCAGGGATTGAACCCGGGCCCTGGCAGTGAAAGTCTGGAATCCTAACCACTAGGCCACTGGGGAACTCTCCAAGTATCTTCTTTTATGATGTATCTCTCTAAAATTTTTAAGGGCCTTTGTTGGTTTTGTTTTGTTTTTTAATTTTTTAAGGGCCTTTGTTTTTAAACATTGAAAATGTATGGTACCTTGACCCTAAAAATAACAGAAACCCCTTCAAACATGATAGATTTATTTGGCATCTTTGTGAGTTTTTTTTGTGTGTGTGTGTGATACGTGGGCCTCTCACTGTTGTGGCCTCTCCCATTGCGGAGCACAGGCTCCGGATGCGCAGGCTCAGCGGCCATGGCTCACGGGCCCAGCCGCTCCGCGGCATGTGGGATCTTCCCAGACCGGGGCACGAACCCGCGCCCCCTGCACCGGCAGGCGGACTCTCAACCACTGCGCCACCAGGGAAGCCCCTTTGTGAGGTTTTAAAAGTGGGAGACTAAGAGAGAGGCTTCAGCAAAAATACAAGACTGAGATTTAATTATTTTTGAATGTCCTGCTAAGCAATTACTTAAACAGCAGGATATTGAGAAAGGATTTCAGATGTGTTTATTTTCCTTTTCTTTTTTTAAAAAAAAATGAGTCTTGAGAAAAGGATGAAATATTTCTAAATACCTTCAGCAAAGCAGCTGTTTTGAAATGGCTGTTGGTGAAAGTCCCTCTTCACTGCCCTTGTACTGGAGGGACAAGGCTGAGCATTTCTGGTGCTCTCCAGCCAACAGGTGGCCACTGTCACCAGGTAGGTGCCCACAGTGGGCTCCACACGGGGTGGGGGTGGGGTTGCTCAGTGATGGGCATTTCTCTGTAGGGCTTTTTTTTTTTTTTTTTTTTTTTTGCGGTACGCGGGTCTCTCACTGTTGTGGCCTCTCCCGTTGCGGAGCACAGGCTCCGGACGCGCAGGCTCAGTGGCCATGGCTCATGGGCCCAGCCGCTCCGCGGCCTGTGGGATCTTCCCGGACTGGGGCACGAACCCGTGTCCCCTGCGTCGGCAGGCAGACTCTCAACCACTGCGCCACCAGGAAAGCCCTCTGTAGGGCATTTTTATCCGGAGTTAGCCCCAGGTTATCCAGTGTGGAGCCTTACAGAGGTGGCTATTTTGTTTTTCACCCCAGGCAAGTATTTGTTTATTGGTTTTATTAATTTAATTAATTGATTTATCTATCTGTCTCTCTATTTATTTTGGCTGCACTTCGAGGCATGCAGGATCTTAGTTCCCCTACCAGGAATCAAACCTGCGCCCTTTGCAGTGGAAACACAGTCTTAACCACTGGACTGCCAGGGAAGTCCCTCAGTTTGTTTGTTTATTCCTTTCTCCCTTTATCCATTTATTTAAAAGTACTGTTGAGCGCTGATCACGTCTTAGATAACTGTGTAGGCACTGGGCATGCATTGTGATCCAAACAGACCAAAATCTCTACCCTGTGGAGCTTGCATTCCACTTCGGGCCCTCAGGAGCGGGTTTGGGCTCTCGTAGAGGAGATGTCCAGGTCGCACTACCTTTTGAGAAGCGTAACAGGCAGGCCAGAGCCACCTTCTGCTTCCGTAGGCTCCCATGTGTACTGCTTTCCTCCTTTGAATGGTGTGCTTTGAAAAGTGAGTAAAATATGGAGGGGTATGTTAGAAGGTCATAAATGCCAAGAAGAAAAATCAAGCAGAGAAGTGGGATAGTGAAGACGAGCTGGCAGTTTTAGGTGGGGTGCCAGGAAAGGCCACGCTGAGAAGGTGAAGCTGCAGGAAAGACCCAAGGAGGTGAGGAACCAGCTGTGCATCTGGCTGGGGGAAGAACGTTCCGGGCAGAGGGAACTTGAAGCTCTGGGGCAGGGATGGCTGGCTCGGTCAGTAATACCAGGGAGGCTGGGGAGGCCAGGGTAAGGGTATGGGGCAGAGGTGAGCTTGGGGCCCTTCGCCATTGGAAGGGCTTTGACTTTTACTCTGTGCTGAGAAACACTGGAGGGTTTTGAACACAGGTGTGGCATGGTTAGAGAAAGAGAGGGACGATGGGGGGACCTTATTCCCTCCATCTGTCACTGTCCCGACAAAACCTCTCGTAATCATATCTGCACAGAAATAGAAAATGAACCAAGTAGAGCTGTAGGAGAGAGCGTAAGGGCCCTGAGCACCTGAAGTAGATAAAGCGTTCTGAGGAACAGAGGCGAGATGGTCTTAGTCATTGGAAGCTGGGTTTTCAGAGACTCTTCTGAATTTTATACAGCTCTTTGGCTTGTGAAAACTGATCCCTTTCCTTTGTAAGCTTGTTTGTCAGGTGCGTTCTTTTTCCTTGGCAAAGCCTGATCTGCTTTATCCTGATCAGTAGATTATTGGATTCAGTAAAAGTTTTTCCTATTTCCTTGGAAATAAGGAGTCAGACCTTTTCTTATCCGAAAAGTCCTGAAATGTTAAACAGCTTCAGTTGGATTGCAAGGGGCATCTGTGTGCTTGTGCATTGCTGGCTGTGCCTGCAAAATATAGGAAGGAACTTTTCTTCCCTGGCAAACCCAACTTTGATTATACTGATGGCTTTTTAACTACTGTTTTCTCTTAACTGCAGATAACTTGTTTATCCCTACGGTAAAGAAGGCACGTGGCTGATGAGCAGGGAGGCGAGGCCGCAGAGTGAGGCAGAGGGGCAGGCCGGGGAAGCAGAGGACGATGACATGGCAGAAGGCGATTTAGGGTATGGCCTCAGAAGAAGGCCCGGCGGCATTTATGAAGTGCAAGTTTCACATTTATTTACATCTAGAAAAAGATCAGATGGAAAGGCCTTTAGTCCTCCCCCGTTTTCAAGAAATGGGGAAGAAAGAAACAGTGCCGTTTTTCAGTATTCCAAGCATAAGAGCTCGCATGATACATACCTGGAAGGACCCCAGATTCCCTATCACTGCCGACAAAGTAGCACTGGTAAGAATGCCTAGCATCCTCTTTCTCCTCCTCTTTTCTGCCCTGTGGATTTTATCAATGCTGTCAGCCTCCCAACACATGAAGATGGGTCACCATCATGGATTTTAGAAATGTATCTTTATTCACCTCTAGAGGTTGATTGGTGATGGTAAAAGTGATGGATGTTTCTGTCTCCATGTATTATATACAAATTGTGAAGGACAGTAATTATTCTGCATCAACACATATACGTTAGTTATATCCGTAAGTAATTACTTGCCTTGCTTTTCTTGTGAAGCAGTGGCATACTTCATTTGTTCTTTCTTTGTCTTATTCAACAAACATTTATTGGGTACCTGTTAGGTGCCCAGCACAGTACCAGACTCTGGGAGTAACATCAGTAAATAAAATAGTCAAAGGCCTTAATGTCATGGAGTTCACATCCTGGTAGAGCAGACAGAAAATAAACCTGCAAATCAACAGCGATGTAACATCAGGCAGTGGTAAGTGAAAAGACAGTGAGTGAGTGGAGGGGCTGGGGTGCTGCTGTTTGAGGCACAGGTCAAGAGAGGTGACATTGGGCTTCCCTGGTGGCGCAGTGGTTGGGAGTCTGTCTGCCGATGCAGGGGATGCGGGTTCGTGCCCCGGTCCGGGAAGATCCCACATGCCGCGGAGCGGCTGGGCCCGTGAGCCATGGCCGCTGAGCCTGCGCACCCGGAGCCTGTGCTCGGTAACGGGAGAGGCCACAACAGTGAGAGGCCCGCGTACTACAAAAAGAGAGGTCACATTGGAGCATTGCAAGCCTGATGCTCATCAGGGGAAGGAGTGTTACAGGCAGAACACACAGGCTTCAGGTTATTTTAGGGATGTCATAAAATTCTCAAAACAAAATTTATCATAAGTAAAAATAAATTGTACTGTACACTAAGGAGAGAATAAAATTCAGAATCATATTGTGATAGAATGTTACAACTGTGAAGTGACCCGGAGCTGGTGGACGAGTCCCAGCCTGCACTGAGGTACAGCTCTGGTGTGGCTGAATCTTTTGTAATCCACATTGTAAAACTTCCCCACCAAAGTGGAACAAACACAGTTAGAGCAACATGAAAATAATTTAAGAAACATTTCAGATTTATGAAAACATGGTGCATCTGGGGATCAATCTCTGTCCTTCAAAATTCTTCTTGAAATTAGGATGGGATTATTTATATATTTTTCTTCCAAGTCCTTATCATGCATAGAGGATGGATACTGTTTTGCAAGCAAGATGTTGAAAATTGAACATTATGCTAAGATGCCTTTACAAAAATGTGAGGAAACTACTGGGATATAAACAAGAAGTAATAGTAATGGTATGAGCTCCTGTTTTTGTGAGTTATGGATTTTGTTTTTTTATCAAAGTTGACTTGATCCTAGGTAAGAATATTGTGTTAGTTTCCTCTTGCTAATAGGCAGTTTCCAAATTACCAGAAATGTAATGGTTTAAAACAACATAAATTTTATTCTCTTACAGTTCTGTAGGTCAAAAATCCAAAACAGGTTTCACTGGACTAAAATCATGGTGTTGGCATGGCTGCCTCCCTTCTGGAGGCTCTAGGGGAGAACCCACTCCCTTGCCTTTTCCACCTTCTAGAGGCTGCCTTTCCTGGCCGTGGTACCCTTCCTCCATCTTCACAGCCACTTCTCCCGCTGCCTCATGCTGATACTGACTCCCCTGCCTCCTTCTTTCATTTATAAGGACCTGGGTAATCCAGAATAATCTCCTATCTCCAAGTATTTAATCACACCTGCAAAATCCTTTTTGCTAGGTATTCAGAGGTTCTGGGATTAAGATGTGGGCATCTTTGGGGGCCATTATTCTGCCTACCACAGGTGTTAATAGAATAGAACTTGTCATTGTCATCCCAGTGTTACTTTTTAAAAAATTTTATTTATTTATTTATTTTTGGCCACACCATGCTTCCTGCAGGATCTTAGTTCCCTGACCAGGGATTGAACCCATGCCCCCTGCACTGGGCTGCCAGGGAAGTTCCCCAATGTCACTTTTGTCCCTCATTGGAACCCTGAATTATCAGAGTAAAAACATGACTTAGGTTTTCCCTTGGTTACTGTCATGTTAATGAAAGTTCAGAATAGCAAAGAAAAGAATTGTTTTGAGAAATTTTTAATGTCCCTCAAAATATTCTTTCTAAATTTTTTTGCTTCTTTTTACTTCCTGTTCTCTTGCTATAATTTATCACTTCAATGTTTTTCTATTGCCAGTGAAACTGCAATGTAAATGAAGTTCCTGGGAAGCCCAGATTAATGTCTCAGTTGATCGATCCCATTAAGGAGAGAATAATTGAAGTTACTGGAGACTTCTAGTGATTCTCCTTGGAAAGAAATTAAATTCAGGTTATTTCTTAGATATTCATATCACGATATTGATCAGGCTTAAGCCAAACACCAAAATTTATTTACTTTACTCACCAACATTCATTAATACTGTGTTTGGATGTAGTAAGTAACCAATTCATTAACAGTTTTATTTTAGAGTCCTTTTTTTTAAGAGTCTTTCGATTCAAAAGTATGTGTCTTTTCATTTGTGGAATGTTCTAAGCTGTTTTTATCGTCATTTGGTTTATTACAGTTATTTTCTCGTTTCAATTTAGGGAAAGGCTGTATTTGATATTTTGTAAACAAATGTCCCATATTTAACTAGCTAAAGAAAATATTTAATTTTTTTTTCCCTCTAATAGATTCTAATTCAGAGTTGTCAAATGAGGAATTAAGGCAACGTCTTCAGGAAACTTCAGAGGTAGGTACTCTGGCTAACATACAAATTCTCATGTGAATAAAGTCCACTGATAGATATTTTGTGTAAGTATTACTAACATGGTATGGAAGTCAACTGTTGGCTTTCCAGATATTCTCGAGCCACACTGTCAAGCTCATCGCTTCCAACTGGCCTCCGCATCTCAGTGGCTTTGTTGCCTCATCTCTCAGAAAGGCTGTTCGTATAAACATGCCCTCCTGTTCTCCTTTCCGACTTATTTCTCTAATCTCCTCTTGGAGAAAATAATCACTCCCTTCTATCTGTCTTCCCAGTATGTGTGACTTGAAATAACCTGACTTAATTGAACCTCTTTGAAGTCAGAGGACTAGAAAGTACCCCAGGGGGTCTGAGGAGACCATCCGTCTTGCTGGGAGTTGGAGTTTCTGTGAGGGTGCTTGTCCTTTCAGGAACAGAAAGCCCATCTTAGTGTGCATTTGTGTTTTTTTGTTTGTTTGTTGTTTGGGTTTTTCTTTTGGCCGTAGCATGTGGGATGTTAGTTTCTCGACAAGAGGTCGACCCTCAGGCCCCCTGCAGTGGACGCATGGGGTCTTAACCGCTGGACCGCCAGGGAAGTCCCTTACTGTGCATTTGTATCTCTTCTGGTGACCGCTACTCTACTGGGCTGCCTAGGGCTACTCTAGGGCTGCCCTGACAAACTGGTGTCTTAAAAGAGCAGATCGACTCTCTCTCAGCTATGGAGGCTAGAGGTCTGAAATCAAGATGTGGGTGGGCCATGTTCCCTCTGAAGGGTCTGGAGGAGAATCCTTTACCACCTCCTACCTTCTGGTGGTTGCCGCCAACAACCTTTGGCTTGTAGCTGCATCACACCAGTCATTGGATTGAGGCCTGCTCTAATCTGTTATGACATTAATTACATCTGCAAAGACCCTATTTCCAAATAAGGTCGAATTTATGGTACCAGGGGTTAGGACTTGAACATATCTTTGGGGATGGGGGGCACAGTTCTACCTATAATAGCTACTGTAGCTGTGTAGCCGATCATGTTCTTATTTTATGTGGTCTAAAGCTTTTTCTCCAAATTATTAACTGTGTGTGTGGCCTAGATGGGTAAAAGCAAAAGATTTGGGCTTTTAGTCATAACTGGCACCTGACAGCGAGCGTCTCAGTTTTAGCCTCTCTGGTCCACTTATAAAGCCTGGAGGAATTTCCAACCTCATTTTGTAAGGTCAGAGCACTTTGAGTCACAGTGAATGTTGAGCTTAATTGTAGACTGTCTAAATTGATCATTTGGGGTTGCATATCTCACAGATAGGAAGACTAATTGTATTTTTCTCCTCAGGAGGTAGAAATTTTGAAAACTGAACTTGAGGCATCTCAAAGACATCTTGAAGGTAAAGAGGAAGCATTGAGAATTCTTCAAAGCAATGTAAGAAGTTACTTTTACACTTTCATCAGGTATACATTCCAATGATAGGTAGTATGGTTTTATCTTTTATTTTTTAAATTTAATTTTATTTTTGTATTTTTGGCCATGCTGCACGGCTTGCCGGATCTCAGTTCCCCAACCAGGGATTGAACCTGGGCCATGGCAGTGAAAGTGCCGAATCCTGAACACTAGACCACCAGGGAACTCCCTGGTTATAGCTTTTAAAATAAAAGCATCAGTGTTTAATATAGTTTTTTTTTTTTTAGGCTATAGATTTTTAAAACAGCTTTATTAAGACATAACTTAACGTCATGAATTTCACTCGTTTTAAGCAATTTATTTTTACTAAACTTATAATTGTGTAACTATCATCACAACTTAATTTAGAGCATTTCCATCACCCCAGAAAAGGAACCTCTTACCAATTAGCAGTTATTCCCATTCCCATCCCCAGCCACCACTAATCTACTTTCTGCTTTATAGCTTTGCCTTTTCTATTTCATAAATAGAACCATACAGTATATGTCTAGATTCTTTTGCCTCTGGATTCTTATAGTTAGCGTATTTTGAAGGTTCATGAATGTTGTAGCATGTGTCAGTGCTTTCTTCCTTTTTTATTGCCAAATAATATTCCATTGTATAGATATGCCACATTTTGTTTATCCATTTACCAGTTGATAGGTATTTTGGGCTATTATGAATAATGCTGCTACGAATGTTCATGTACATGTCCTTGTGTGAGAAATCCATTCATTCATTCTCACATTCATTTGGAAAGAACCAAACCAAGATCTTCTGACTTTTGAACTATCAAACTCTATACAAAAGGTCTCTGTGGGAATCTCATCTCAAGGTACTTTTCTACTGTCTTAAAATAAAAATGTGAACTTCACCTTGCATATAAGGGTGATTGGAAATTTAATTTATACTGTTACAATCTTTATTGTTCTTAGGCAATATTTGGCAAAGCCACAAGTCATACCCAGGCAGTGCTTCAAAAAACTGTGGAACAAAAGAGATCCTTGGAGAAGGTATTTGACCACATATAGTGTATAGTGTAGACTTGTTCAATTCAATAAGCTTTCAAATAGAATTCCCTTAAAAATCACCGTGATATCACAGTGATATGTCATTTGTGCATACCCTCTGCTAGGTGTACCTCAACTTCATACAGTCCCTTCCCTTTTGGAGCTTATAATCCAAAACAGATTGTCACATGGGCTAAGCCTGCCAAATTGACACTTCCTGTTTTTCTTCTTTTCCTATTTTTCTTCTTCTGCTTGCCCTGCAGAGCCTGCCTCTTTCTGACCATCTCATCTTCACTAAAAAGGTAGTTAGGAATCACCCTAGATGGTCATATTCCTATTCCTGTTTTACTCTCCCTTGGTGGGAGTGTCCTGGGCTCAGACTTCCAGGAGTATATGTTGGGGTCTGCATGGGTTGGGGGCAATGAGAAATCTAGGTTCAGGCCAACAAATTTGAAATGTTCCCTTTAATAAGTAAGCTTCAGCAAAGCTTTTTGAGTGCTAAAGAGTCATGTCATATGTGTTTATAAATGTCATAGACTCTTTTTGAGCAGTAATTCGTTTTTTGTGTTTAACCTATTTCTGTGAAGTGACTAAATGATTTATTTCAAATATTCAAAAGTCATGAAGTGATTTATTTGTAGTAATTTCCTTGAAAGTGCTATTTTTTTCTATAGGAAATAAATGCCTTGCAGTGGGAAATAGAATTTGATCGCAATAGATTTAAAAATATAGAGGAATCTTGGATCCAAAAATATGACAGGTTTGTATATTATTATTCCGTAATTTTTCTTTGGAAATTTTTAAACTGTGTATAATTCAAATGTAGCTTAGGCTTTCTTCTTTTTTGAGCACACTAAGTATAAAATTCAGGGAATTCCCTAGTTGTCCAGTGGTTAGGACTTGGTGCTTTCATTGCCATGGCCCGGGTTCAATCCCTGGTCGGGGAACTAAGATCCTGCAAGCCACGTGGCACAGCCAAAAAGAAATAAAATAAGATTCGTATTGCTTACCCACTTACCAGTTCCATATTTTACTGTTACTGTTAATTTTCTTTCTTTAAAAACTAGTATAAACTGTATATTAAAATACAGGTTAAGAGCCATGTTTCCCAAGTTATTTTAGCCTTGCACTGTTTTTTCAAAGTCTTTTGAGCAACTCTTGTATTAGTGTGAATTTATTTAATAACTTGACCTTATGAATATGCTATAATTTAATCACTGAGAAATTGATTTGGTATCTGGGGTTATAGATGGCTTTAGTACCTAATTTTTAAATTTATTACTTCTTAACTTTTAATTTGAGATAATTGAAGACTTACAGAAAAGTTGTAAGAATAGAACAACTCCTATATATCTTTCACCGAGATTCTCCAAATTTTACCTCTTTTTCACATTTACTTTATCATTCTTTTTTCCTTTCTTTCGCTCTCTTTGTAGTTAAATACATAAATATAGAGGTAATATTTTCTGAACCATTGTGCATATATAGGGTCCCATTACTCTAAATACTTCAGTTTGTATTTTTTTTTAAAAGGGACGTTCTCATCTATAACATAATATAGTTATAAAAATCAAGACCTTAACCCAATACTATTATTTAATGTGCAGACCTTCTTTATATTACCAACTATCTTAATAATGTTCTTAGAGCAAAAGAGAAAAAACAATTTCCCCTGTTCAGGACCAGTCCAGGACCACATGTTGCATTTGGTTGTCATGTCTAAATTTTAGTCTCCTTTAATCTGAAACAGTTCTTCAGTGTTTATCTTTTTTTTTTTTTTTTTTTTTTCCTTGCGTTTTGCGGGCCTC